AAAAAAAACGCGACACTTTTGAAAGTCCTTTACCTCATATCTCCACAACGGGAGCACTTCAGAATATAATTCAAACAGATTCGGGAAGCTACAGTGTAGGGCTACAACTTTCGTTTTTTGACCATTTTTGGTAATTGGTCATGTGACCATCATCCCAACATCCCATTACATGGACCCTGATAGGTAAAATCATTCTCCTCTTGGTTTTCTTTGCTTTTTGGTAAAACCAGGTGATATTTCCCTTTTGGGCTGGACCCTGAAGGCAGTGCCTGATGTTCTGTACACCATTTATATATATTTTCAATTTTTCTGCCATTTTCTGGCTATTTTTGGATATATTACCATATTTGGAACTGGACCCTGGACCCTGACAACATTACCCAATATGATCAACAATGAGCACCATCCCCCATTTTTTTCTGATTTTTTGGATATTTTCTGGCCATTTTCAGCTGTATTACCATATTTGGAAATGCGCCCTGGACCCTGAAAACCACCCCCAATGTCGTCACCACCAGTGAGCAACACCCCAAGCTCACTAATGAAATTGCCAATGATATTGCCCAAGTAACTAATGAAAATCGCAATGATGTCGCCCAAGTAGCTAATGAAATTTCCAATGATATTGCCCAAGTAACTAATGAAAATCACAATGATGTCACCCAAGTAGCTAATGAAATTTCCAATGATATTGCCCAAGTAACTAATGAAAATCACAATGATGTCGCCCAAGTAGCTAATGAAATTTCCAATGATGTCACCCAAGTAGCTAATGAAATTTCCAATGATATTGCCAAAGTAACCATTGAAAATCGCAATGATATTCACCAGATAATTAATGAAATTTCCAATGATACTGGCCAGATAAGTAATGAAAATCACAATGATATGCCTTTGTAAAGATATGAAATTGGTAATAAGGCCTTGCCTCCATTTAATGAAAAAAGCGCAGGCTTTATGATAATGAAAAGACATGGTAACAGGAATGATTCCCTATCATAAAGAGTGTGGATGGATACACAGGGAGCCATAGGCAGTTACCTTGTTTTTATGATAAAAGTGCTAGCCACTAGTGTATTTGGACGAAGTTCGTGGCCTGCACAACTGATCGCAGCTCGACGATGCTTCTCAGCTCTAGCGATTTCATAGTTGATGGTGTCAACATAGTCCTGGGGGTTGTGTGGGGCCATGTAACCTGCAGGGAGCATGTGGTACGTCTGTGTTTCGTTATCCCATACTTCTGTATGCCTATCTGCAGCGTTCTGGGCACCTTCTTGAGGTAAGGAGCCTTGGTAGCGAATGTGGCCCTCCTCCCAGGGCTTCTGGAACTTGTAGGCCGCCTCTTCCCCCTCTGAAATGTCATAATGGTGGAAGGGGTGGATCTCCGCATTGTTGGGCTCACGAGAGGCATTGAGTGCCTGGAAGGCTTTGCGAACCTCTGGGTGGACGTAGGCGATGCAACGACGATCCAGAATGCATACGTCGTTCTCTGCCTTAATGAGATCTTCTGGTGTGTGAGGGGCCATGTGATCTGCTGGGATTGGGACCCAAAATCCTGTTTGCTTGTCTAACATGGTCGTCCGATCATCTGCTGCACTCCAGCCTCCTCTCTTGGGGCGATGCCCATAGTAGCTGTGATAACCACCTTGTGTAAACGCAAATCGATAACGAGTGTCGCCTTTGAGTGCAGCATTCAGGGCAGCAATCTTGACGTCGTCAAAATGGTTGAGAGATATCAATTGGATGCGTGGTGGCCACTAGTGGCTACCACTAGTTATCATATAAAACAGGTAACTGCCTATAGGTCCCTGTGTATCCATCCACACTCTTTATGATAGGGAATCATTACTGTTACCATGTTTTTTCATTATCATAAAGGCTGTGCTTTTTCATTAAGTGTAGGCAAGGTTTTGGACCTCCCTCATAAGATAGCCTGTGGTTATCATTACCAATTTCATATCTTTCCAAAGCCATATCATTGTGATTTTCATTAGTTGTCTGGCCAGTATCATTGGATATTTCATTAGCTACATGGGTGATATCATTTTGCAATTTTCAATGGTTACTTTGGCAATATCATTGGAAATTTCATAAGCTACTTGGGCAATATCATTGCGATTTTCATAAATTATCTGGCCAGTATCATTGGAAATTTCATTAGCTGGTTGTGCAATATCATTGGCAATTTCATTAGCTACTTGGGTGACATCATTGCAATTTTCATTAGCTACTTGGGCAATATCATTGCAATTTTCATTAGCTCCTTTGGCAATATCATTGGAAATTTTATTAGTTACTTGGGCAATATCATTGCAATTTTCATTAGCTCCTTTGGCAATATCATTGGAAATTTTATTAGTTACTTGGGCAATATCATTGTGATTTTCATTAGCTACTTGGGCAATATCATTGGCAATTTCATTAGCTACTTGGGCGACATCATTGCAATTTTTCCTTAGCTACTTGGGCAATATCATGGCGATTTTCATTGGCTCCTTTGGCAATATCATTGGAAATTTCATTGGCTACTTGGGCGACATCATTGCGATTTTCATTAGCTACTTGGGCAATATCATTGTGATTTTCATTAGCTCCTTTGGCAATATCATTGGAAATTTTATTAGTTACTTGGGCAATATCATTGTGATTTTCATTAGCTACTTGGGCGACATCATTGCGATTTTTCATTAGCTACTTGGGCAATATCATTGCGATTTTCATTGGCTCCTTTGGCAATATCATTGGAAATTTCATTGGCTACTTGGGCAACATCATTGCGATTTTCATTAGCTACTTGGGCAATATTATTGGCAATTTTTAGTAATCAGGAGAGTGGTCACATGACCAAACTCCAAAAGGGGTCAAAAACCAAAGTTGTAGCCCTGCACTGTAGCTTCTCAAATCTGTTTGAATTATGTTCTGAAGTGCTCCCATTGTGGAGATACAAGGTAAATGAATGTCAAAAGTGTCGCGTTTTTTTTTGTTTTTTGTGTTTTTCTCCATGAAAACAAAAGCAAATAACATAATTTCAGTATATTTAGAAAGCTAAAAGAAAGGGCTACAATTATTGTATTGTGGGAGAAATGACCAAAAAAGGAAGGTGCATGCCCTACTATAAGAGTCAGATATAGATTTACTAATGGACTACAAAAAAGTCGGACTTAGACTACACAGTTTACTGATACCCTATAAAAGACTACAAAAGTCAGACCTAGACTCTAAAGTTTGCTGATAGACTACAAAAGACTACAAAGTTTACTAATACACTACAAAAGACTACCAAATTTACTGATAGACTACAAAAAAGTCAGACTTAGACTACAAAAGTCGGACTTAGACTACAAAAGCTTGGATTTACACTACAAAGTTAGAGTTAAGGTCAAAAGGTTATCTTGACTACAAAGTTTGTAGTGTCCGCTTTTTGTCATTAGAAAAGTTGTGTAGTGTGTGCTTTTTCATTAGAAAAGTTTGTAGTGTCCGCTTTTTGTCATTACAAAGGTTTGTAGTGTGCGCTTTTTCATTAAAAAAGTTTGTAGTGATCACTTTTTGAGACTACAAAAGTTTGTAGTGTGCGCTTTTTCATTAGAAAAGTTTGTAGTGTCTGCTTTGTTTGTCATTACAATGGTTTGTAGTGTGTGCTTATTCATTAGAAATGTTGGCAGTGTCTGTTTTTTGAGACTACAAAATCTTGTAGTGTGTGCTTTTTTATTAGAAGAGTTTGTAGTGTCTACTTTTTCATTTATAAAAGTTTGTAGTTGACATGTAGTTTATGGTGTCTCCATCTATGTTATGGGGATGAGGTTGAAGGATTGCCATCATATGCCAGTGCTGCAGCATTAGTTTTTGGCATCATCCACAAGTTGTCTTTCACATTAGGAAAAGCCTTTGATATTGATACCTCATGTGAGGATATGGCTGAATGATTGACATGACTTTACATATTGCTATTGCAACATCATCAGTCTCTCACATCACGTTCCCCAACCTGACTTGAAGCCAGGACAGACGATCCCCAACCGAATGATAGTTACATCACCCAACGCTGTTTGGATGCCATTCATCTCTTTGCGAACCTGAGCTGTCCGTGCCCGAGAGGACAGTCGTTTTGCCTGGGCAGACTTCACTGTATGCCCTCAATGGTTCATCGACAACCATTGGCATCTCCCTTTTGTCAGATCGCGTCCACTTGAGGCTAAAATCAAGGACCATGAGCTTGGATTCTGTTGGTGGCAGTTGCAAGATCACCATTTTGAAGCAGCGAAAGGTTCCGCTTACCGTAATCTGGGAACTTTGCGTGGAGATATTGCAGATTTTCTGGAAGGGGAGGCCAAAAAGCTTCACCTTGCATGCCGAGACATCAAGCAGTTGAAGGATTTTGGCTGTCTCTTCTACCTGGTGAACAAGACTGTAGACGCGGCCCTCCAGCTCAAATTCTGCACTTTCACCAAACACGACTTGATCTACCGCATCTGTGATATAGGATTGGAAGGGAATGCCCAGAGGCCATAGTCAAACAGTGGTATATAGCTAGATTTGGATATCTTACATAATAGATTGATCTTTTGTCTTGAACCACCATCTTGTCAGCAGTCTTGCCATCCTCTTGCACTACATGCAGTGCTTTGTATATCTGTACTTCCTACAGTATGCATAATCATGTTGGGCCAGCTGAGTATCTTGTAACTGCTCATTGCTCACTCATGGGTGTTGATCCCAGATCCACCCATTCTTGCCTCCTCCTTCCCTCTTGGCTTCAGCTATGCGAGAAGTTCAGAGTGAACGCTTCACAGCATCAGTGGCTTCCAGTGTCTCTATCTGGAGACTCTCGCGATGTATGACTGGCACACCAAGTGGGCTTTCTGGCTCAAGGACAGCTCCAGCAAAATCTACGAAATTGACAAATCAATCATGGGTGTGATTACAGACAGCCCAGACTGTATTGCCATGCTCTACCGAGCTGGTGTACTGGGTTGGTATATCCGACCACCGTCGAGTATCCCACACGACATGACTATCCATTACATCATCGCTCCTGGTTGGGAAAAAATGCCAACAGCACACGGTCGTCGGTCAAGCGAGTGTGATCCACGTGAATTCACGGACAAAGACTACCCTGGAATGCCATTCCCCACCGTGCTCACTGCATGCCCTCGAAGTGGAGATTACGTCGTAGCCTGCCAGAGCTGGCGCAAGGGGCATTTGGGTCCAACCAACGCTCAAGTCGTCGTGACGGAGGCCCCAAGTGGTCCTGCCACGGTGGAGTCTTTTCCATCCAGTTAGTTTTTTCAATCCTAAGTGCTCTAAAGTCAACTCATAGTTTTGTAAATGATAGCCCCATCTTCGTCCCGTGCAGTATCTGCCCTCCAAATGACAAATAAACCAGCACAAGGCAAGTTCCCTTGTCTCCCATCTCTGCGGTTACTTATTGATCTCAATGGTAATAGCCGGCTTAAATCTCGCCAAATTCAAAGAGCTGGAACTTGATTATGTACCACCTCAATCCCCTGCCTGGAAGAAGGTGTTAGCAGGGGTGGATACTAATTCTTGGCACATCATCTCTAATCCTGTTGGGAACAAGCTCCGCGGTTATCAATTCCCGGACCCATTTCTCTTCATCACTGGCGCCAACCACAGAAGCTTGATACTGGCTTGGTTGATGATGCAAGCTCAGTGGCTTCAAACAATCATCAATGTCGATACCGCCCCACAATTGCCTGCGCCACAGCATTGGCGAAATTGTCTCTATGATTTCGCCAAGGAAATGTGCTTGCTCCCTCCGTTACCCTCGATGAGCAAAGTGGCCCATGGTGGGGTTAGTGTTCGCAGGTCCAGTTAAGTCCAGTTTTTTACCTCAAAACGATGCAACTGGCAACCACAACTGGTCTAGACTGATCCAAATATTGAGGGACCGCAACCAGACCGCTTTGGACCAGTCCTAATCGGTCCACAATGTGAAAAAGACCGGTCCAGACCAGTTGCAACTGGTCTTTTGTTGTAAAAATTATTACGCCACAGTAACTAAATATTACCTCATGTACATTGCATACATAGATAGATATTTTAATTCTCCATAGACTGATCAAAAATCTAAGCAATTCCGTCAAGATTTGACTGAGATATGGTGAAAACAGAGAGAACATACATACAGATTGCATATAAAAATGTTGTTGGCCATATGTCAATCAATTCTTGACCGTTTTTGATGATTCAGGGACCGAAAATTAAGTAAAATGTGCACGAGTAAGGTCCAGCACGTGATGGGACGAAAGACCAGTTGCAACCGGTCTAAACCTGTCTTTTTCGGTTTTTATATATTTACAAAAACATGGCAACTGGCAACTGGACTGACCACAAATGTGGGCAACTGCAACTGGAAAAAGACCGGACCGTGGTTCAGTCCAGTTCAGTCCTATGTATATTTTCAGTCCTGTAGACTGGACCTGCGAACACTAGGTGGGGTGCAAAAGAACAAGGCAAAAGATCGGCCTGTCCCCAAAGGGACCAACCGCCGTTCTTCCAAGGCCAAGGAGGTTCAAGCCTCTATATTTTCCAACGCAGTGTCTCTTGGCGGTCGTCCTGATGTGGTTTATTGGGGGAACGTGGCAGTCATGGAAGGGGAAAACGACACCGGCCTCACCCCAGACATAATATCACAGGTGATCTGGAACACATTTGAACTGAATTTCCGTCATGAGATTCACCAGCTCGACTGCCATCTCTTGCCTGCTGCATGGGCTTCAGTTTCTGAAGCAGGCTTGCGTGAGAACCTCATTCGACGGATTTTTCCTGAAGAGAGCAACAGCCTTATCATCTCGACAGGTCCACCCTCTCACCTGGGCTTAGCGGTGAATAACTAGCAGGATCGCATGAATTATGTGGAAGCTTTGCAATGAGTGGTAACGGGTTGGCCAGGGGACACTTCGAAACAGTTGAAAGCACGGTACATGTCTGAAAGTATCTCAGAGGCCAAGTTTCGGGAATCGGAGCAAGCAGTGGTGGTGGTGTACTGCCAGACATTTTTTGACAACTTCGGTCGTGCACCTTGCACCCTGCATGAGATTTCCCAAGGTTCTGATCATCCCGAAGTCTTGTCATCATCGTCATCTAGCGCCTAGCGGGCAGGGGGCCTCCCATCATTCAATGCGGCATGGACTAACATCGGAGGTAGGGCGATTGCAATCTGATTCATTCATCGTGGCACAGACTAACATTGGACTTAGGGTCATCGCATTCGGGGAAATATCTTGTACCGCTCTCATGTCATTTGCATTTCGGACTTACATAGAATAATGCCACTGATCTTGTGATTCATTGTGGGTGAGATAAGACAGACAACACTTGGTTTTTCCCTTTCTTCCCTCCCTATCTTTGTCTCTCGTCTCATGGCACTATGTTCAAACGGAAAGCAGTAAAGTCTCGTGAAGAGCTTCCCAGAAAGTTAGTTGCAGCAGGCACGTTCCAAACACACAGAGTCTATGGCACGGGAGATGTGACATCTGAACCCCAGGCCAATGTTTACACTCCCCAGGGCCATTTTGTCCAGCATACAGATTCCGTTCATGATGTTCAAACTGATACCTTCAAAGCTTTGGCCACTGATATAATTGGTGAAGCCGATGATACACGTTGCACGGGGATGAACGTGAAAGTGCGAAACACGCAAACAAGGATCAAGTGTGTTGGGGAAAACCCTATACACCTAACACTCACACACACACACACACACACTATCACAATCTCGGTGCAAGAGTTTGAGGGCCTTTGGTATTAAGAAATACCACTTTTGTCTTCTTAGGTTTAAGTCTCAAGAGTTTTCGTAATAAAACCGGGTTTTATTATTGGGTGTGGTATTAGAATAGTTCAATAGAACAAAGTATGTCTTTCAGGGATCCTGGTTGCTCAAATGCAAAGTTCTCGCACACAGACTTCTTTATTGACATGAAACATGAATTTATCGGACTTTTATAACTCCCTTGAGCTTTTATTATGTCACTACACTCCAAAACAAAAGGTACGAGTACGCTGTCTCGTCTAAATGATACTATGCTTAAAAACCTCTTATTCAAGTCTCCAAGTAAGCTGACTCCCAAGCACGCTGACTTCATTCACACTGTACTTTTCTGACCACGAAGAAATCTCCTTTAATTGATTACAACTGTCCACCTCCTAAGTCTCTACTTGGAGTGCAACTAGCTGGTCAACGGGGGATGATTGCTTGCCTTTTGACCTGCCAGTGCCCTCCTTTTATACTCCAAAACTCCTATCTACGCTTTTACATGTGTTTTTCTATGGTTTATATCGGTCCGAAATTACAAATGGAATATAAATAGCTTTTAATAATCATGTGGTATAGTTTTATAGTGTCTTTCTTTGATACACTACAGATTTTGTAGTGTTGGTATCTTTCTCTTATGAACGCATCAGTATTTGATGCGTACATTCAATAGTCTGGCTTTTAATTATCCTTGGCCCGGACCGGTTCCTTATGCTTCTTTCTCTTGGCCTCAGTTACCAATTTGACGTATCATGTCATTTTAGCGATGGCCAGGCTGATACATATGCAGCAAGCTGCTGGCTTCTTTATTTCCGGAAGTTATTTGATTAAAATGCCTCGGCTCGGTTTCTGTATCATATGGAGATCGCATGGTACTCCGAAGGACTTCAAATGACTTTCTTAGTTATCAGGGGGTCTCCAGATTGGATTACCTAATGTCTTTCCAGGTGCGCATTTCATAGCATCTTGGATGATGCTACGCATCACTCTTTGATGCGTACGCGGGAATTGCCGTACTTGACTCTTTACATGGCCGCAGGCCACGCTTGGTCCTCATACATATACTACATTGTCGCAGTATAGTCTTTCTAGTAGTAGAACATTATTTCACAATGTCCACATACAATTTATCCTCTAGAAGTCTTGGAAGTATTTATCGCAGGATAAAAGTCCGAGTTTCCATATTAAAAATCCATTACATGTTTCTAAACCCTTGGTAGTAATGCAATCTTGTCCCTGTGCTGGGTGGTTTACTCTAGAGCTTCTTTATACTCTATTTCATGGTGGGTGAATCCTAGATAGGCCCCAAGTATAATGTCATGGCGCATACTGCTGCCAGCTCCAAGGCCTTAGTCCTATGTTCAGACTCGACGCATGTGCACTTTTAGTCTACTGAACTGGGTATGTTCAAAGACTCTTATATCATTGCAATTTGTATATAGTGTATGTACAGAGAAGACCATTTCAAACGGTAAAATCGCGAAAATCGGATTTTATATGGTTGAATACTTTTCACCCATATCACCGAAGGGGTAAAACCAGGTAAAAAGGCACGACAATTTCAGCGATGGGAGGGGGAAATTCTTCCTGCTCTTATGCAACCTTATATTCAACTCCTGAGGGAGACTGACTCTCTGCGAAATATGTCAGAAGTTAGACAAGTGGTGGGTTGTGTTGGTTGTCATGCTGGGAGATCTTTAAAAGTTGCATGTATATTTTTTGAAAGTATGTTGATATTTTGTTTTGTCTTGGTTGCTCTTTGATTTTTATTGGGCAGGGATTGAGACTCTCACTCTGTGTACATGCACGTCTCCAGCCCTGCAGCTGCTTCAGCGGGGTTTGTTTCCTTGTGCTCCACTTTTACCCTCTCTTGCGGTTGACCTGAATATGCTTGAGTTTGTCAATGGCCTTTTTGTCAATGCTGCACCAAATACGACAGCTTGGTGTGAGACCTTGGAGTCATTTCTTGGTAATAGGAGGTACAAGCTATCTACTCGAGTAAGTTCCCAATTTTTTTATGGATTGTTTCTGATAGCTGGTGTTTCTTAGAATAGCTTGCACCGGTGCTTTGGGGCTGCTATGCAGTGGTATGCTACACTGATTGATAAGAAAAACCACCAGTTGGCCAACTACTTGGATCAATTTAGGCTGCCAGCCACTCATTGTTCAGGTATGATGATGCTTTTTCTTTTTGGGGGGGGGGATTTGTTCACCTTAAATCTATTTGTATAGATGATGGTAATTACAAGCCAGTTATTTCCCCCATGGCTAAGCTGACAGCCACATTTAATAGATGCAGAAATGAGCAGCCCAGATAGTGAAAATGCTACCCCATGAAGAAGATCAACCAAGTAACTACTTACGCTCCCATTGCCCACTCTGTTTTGGGGGAAAGGATTGGAAGAAAAAGGATGAACTGTGTGTGATCCTTCTTCTATTTTAAGAGTTGTTTCTAAGGTTCCTTTTGGAGTGTCGACTTTATAGTATGTCTAGATGCATGCTTCAAGCAAAAATCAAGAAAGGCTCAAGGCAAGGAACCACCTGCTCCTCGTCAGCATCCTGTGTGGAAGTGCCAGATGTTCTATTCATGGCACTCCCCGTTATTTTCATTTTATATGCACTTTGATTTTTATGATTCTTTTTATTTGATTTTAGTTTCTTTTCTTTTTTTTAGATTTTAGCAAGCATTGTAGAACATTTGAAATAGCGCGTTCTGACATCTTACAACACACGCGTTCTTTGGACGACGTCATCGCCGGCAACTTGTTTGATCGTCTTCTCCTGGAGTCACTTGAAGGACGTGGCTTGCAAGTTTCGTTCCTGTGCGCATAGTTCTTAATTTTTATTTTTATTGTCTTTACTGTTTATTACTTATGACACTTTTCTATGAGACCAAAGCCCTGATCGAGAGCTGGACAGTAGGGTCAAGCCATCAATGACTGGGACGTCCGCACTGAAGGCGGCAGCGTGTATGCAAATAGACCTACCAGCTTCATACGGTTCCCCGAGCAATTCCCAGCTCAAGGTTTTGGCAGAGGAATCCGATGAGAGGCGTCATAGTTATTTTTGTTCGCATTTTTTCTTTTTCATGTTGACATGTTCTTGTAGTTCCTTTTTTCTTATTTTAGATTGATTCTTGGACAGGCAGCACGCGACAACGTGCAGTTGCCTTGTGATTCTTTATGTGTACTTATGGTGACCTCCCACCTATCGAATGGAGCACCTTTTCTTTCCCCACTTTTTACCTCTCTCAGTAAGCTTCGACATTTGACCTTAAAAGTGACTCCCCCTCTCTTCAAAACTCCCTCCATCTTCTACTAAGTCGTCGCACACCAAGGCGCGGCAATCCTCAAGACAGGCGCATCAAGCGTGTCGACGAACTCATGCCACCATCTCCAAGCGCATGGAAGAACTCACGCCACCGTTTAAGCTTTTAAAGTTGTTGACGACACTAAGTACTCTTTTCGGTCTTTCCTTTGTCTCTTATCTTTCTCCCTCCTTTCGTTTCCTTTCTTTTACGCTAAGTAGTCGACCAGTTCTTTGTCCCCAGTACTGAACTCTCGTTCTTCCCACTTCAGTCACCCACTGCCAACTGACTATTAGTCATGCAAACTACACATAAGTTACATGACTAAATGTCATGGACCATATCTATATTCTAGATATATATGGGTCCTAGAAAGCCCTGAAATCTAAAATATATTCTTGAGACGTGGACCCTGAAATGTCACACAAAAATTATAATGTCTGTGTCACACCACCAAAATATATTTTGCAAGTGAAAAGCAGTAAGGATATATTTTTGGTGAGTGGACCCTGAAATGTCACTGTCACACCTTAGAAATATATTTTTGCCCTGGCTTGGCCTTAGGATATATTTTGGGAGACAGATGTGGTAAGGATATATTTTTTGGGTCTGTAGGGGTGTCAGGGGTCCTAGTTTCACCAAAAAAACTTGTGATTTTTCTGCTGTCTGGGATATATATTCTGGAAGATTCTGCAATGATTTCCAGGGGTTTTGGCAGTATGTAGGTAGCAATAAGGGGCATCAATAGCATCTGTGACCTACCTGAGTAGTTGCTTGCATATTATCCACTTTGACACTATAGATACAGTTTGCACTATGAAATTCTTTAGCTGCCTTGAAACACCCTCTGAGTTGACAAAGTCCTTCGATCTTTCTCTTCTTCTCTTTCCAATTGCACCATATCTGCATACCCCACCCACATCTGTATTACCAGTAAGGTGACAAAGTGCTTTGATCTTTCTCTTCTTCTCTTCCTTTCTTCCCCACCCCCCTCTGTATTACCATCCTTGACAGACAATCTCTCCTTCTCTTCCTGTCATCCTCTCCTCCTCTTCTTCTCTCCTGCCTTCCTCCCCTTTTCTCTTGAGTTTGATTGTAAATTTATGGACAAAAACTTCACCAAGTACTTTGTTGTTTCTCTCCTCCTTTCTTCCACTCCTCCTCTTCTTCCCTCCTGCCTTCCTCCCTCTTTCTCTTGAGTTTGATTGTAAATTTATGGACAAAAACTTCACCAAGTACTTTGTTGTTTCTCTCCTCCTTTCTTCCACTCCTCCTCTTCTTCTCTCCTGCCTTCCTTGCTCTTTCTTTTGAGTTTTGATTGTAAATTTACAAAGAACTCTATTCACAATGTCATAGTATGGAGTTACATATATCTTTTCCTTAAAAAGTCCACTTCAGTCACCCAGTGCCAACTGACTATTAGTCATGCAAACTCCATGTAAGTTACATGACTAAATGTCATGGACCATATCTATATTCTAGATATATATGGGTCCTAGAAAGCCCTGAAATCTAAAATATATTTTTGACACATGGACCCTGAAATGTCACACAAAAATTATAATGTCTGTGTCACACCACCAAAATATATTTTGCAAGTGAAATGCAGTAAGGATATATTTTTGGTGAGTGGACCCTGAAATGTCACTGTCACACCTTAGGAATATATTTTTGCCCTGGCTTTGCCTTAGGATATATTTTGTGAAACAGATGTGGTAAGGATATATTTTTCTGGTCTGTAGGGGTGTCAGGGGTCCTAGTTTCAGCAAAAAACTTGTGATTTTTTCTGCTGTCTGGAGTATATATTCTGGAAGATTCTGCAATGACTTCCAGGGGTTTTGGCACTATGTCTAGCTGTGCTCCCAGTATGTATGTAGCAATAAGGGGCATCAATAGCATCTGTGATATACCTGAGTTGCTTAAGTATCATCCACTTCCAATCACACTATGAATACAGTTCGCATTACAGATTCATTCATTCTCCTTCAACAATTTTGGGCCTCAATGACATGTATGATTCACCTTGAAGCTATTCAGTCCAAGATTCCTGAGTTGCTTAAGTACTATCCACTTTGACACTATAGATACAGTTCACACTATGGAATTTTTTAGCTACTTAGAAATCCCCTCCACTTCTGCCTCTACTTCAGCTCCAAGATCTCCATTTGCACCTTATCTGCATACCCCACCCACATCTGTATTACTATCCCCTGCCAGACAAACTCCTGCATGTGATATCAAACATGTTGTCCAATCCACTTTCAAAAACCAGAGTTCACAAAGTTCTTTGTTTCACTCTCCAATTGCACCTTATCTGCATGCCCCACCTACATCTGTATTAGTCAAACCTCTGCATGTGATATCAAACATCTCTCCCAACCTACTTTCAAAAACCAGAGTTCACAAAGTTCTTTGCTCTTTCTCTTTTTCTCTCTCCAGTTGCACCTGATCTGCATACCTCACCCACATCTGTATTACCATCCCCTGCCAGTCAAACCCCTGCATGTGATATCAAACATCTCTCCCACCCCACTTTCACAGACAAGAGTTCACCAAGTTCTTTGTTGTTTCTCTCCTTCTCTTCCTCTCCCTGTTTTCCTCTTCTCCTCTCCCTGCCTTCCTCCCTCTTTCTCTTGACTCTTCATTGTAACTTTATTGACAACAAATTCCATTCTCCTCTAACAAATTCTGTTCACCAATGTCATAGTATGGAGTCACACATATCTTTCCACTAAATCCTGAACCAAGATCTATTTTAACCATATCATGAATCCAGATACATAATTTCTGAACTATATCATGAATATTTTAATTAGATGCTGAACCAAGATATATCTTTCCACTTTATCTTGAACAAGGATATATTCACAAGACATATATTTCAATTATATCCTGACCCAGGATATATTTCCAACAAGATAATGAACCAGGATATATTACCAATACATATTCTCAAGCTATATCTTGAACAAGGATATATCTTTCAACTTTATCTTGAACAAAGATATATATTCAACAAGATATTGAACCAGGATATATTACCAAGATATATTCTTAAGCTATATCTTGAACCAGGATATATTACCAAGGTACATTTTTGAACTATATCCTGAACAGGATATATTTTTTGACATATAACTTTTAACTAGATCTTGCAGAAGACAAAGGTGCAATTTATTGAATGAAACTACATAGATTTACATTACTACAAAGACCATTCATTAAATACAGAAATAAAGAGAAGGGGAGGGGGAGGGGTTTGGTGGGCAATAGGGAGAGGGGAAAGGGCTGGTAGGCAATGATGGAGGGGGGGGGGGAAGAGGTTCTAGGCAATGAGGGAGGGGATGAGGGGGTTATAGGCAATGAGGGAGGGGTGCCAGGCAATAAGAGAGAGGGAGAGGGAGTGCTGCAATGAGGGAGAGGGGGAGTGGTGTGCAGTGGGAGGGAGTGAGAGAGAGGGAGAGGGGGAATGGGAGGGGGAGTGAGAGAATGGGAGGGGGAGTGAGGGAATGGAGGGGTAGGGAGTGATGGAGGAGGGAGGGAGTGATGGGGAGAGGGGGAGGGGTAAGGAGTGATGGAGGGGGGAACTCCCCTGGGCTCGTCATTGCTTGTGTCCGTTCAGGTGGTCGTTTTCGTTGGCGGGCGGTCGCCTTCGTTTGTGGGCGGTTGTAAACGTTCGTGGGCGGGTCGCCCTCGTCTCGTTGGTGGGCGCTCGTGGACGTTCGCGCGGGTGGTCGTGGACGTTGGTGGGCGCTCGTGGTTGTTGGTGGGCGCTCGCGGTCGTTGGTGGTCGTCCGTGGGCGTTCATCTTCGTCCGTGGTCCACCACCCACACCTTCATCCATCGTCGTCTTCATTTTTAGGGCAGTCGTCGTGGTCCGCCAGGCGAAACAAAGACGACGAACGACGACCGATGTCGTCGTTCGTTGTCCGGTTGCCACGTCGCAGCTAGCGACGTGGCACCTCATTGGTGTCAGAAGGGAAAAAGCTGGGGTGGTGACTGCTTACCAGGCTGGGTACGGCACAACCTCGTCACCGTCGTCCTCGCCTGCCATCGATCTCCTTCGATGTCGTGTGTTTGCTGGGGGTTGGTGACGTGGCGCTGCCGCGTCGTTCTTGTGGTGCCGGGGTGGTTGTAGTTGTTCCGTGACGACGTTGTGTGTGTCGGC